AAATCCAGGAATTCTGCTTGCAAGTCTGCCTCAGGTGGCTGTAAACAGACCCCATTACATTTATTCTACTGTACTATAGAATCTTCTGAAGTTGGGATCTTAAATTGTTTTCACATAATGCTGGTGTAAAAAGAACCACTGAATAGCTGAGACTTATTTCTCTATACCAAATGGCATTTTGGTTTTTTTTTTTAGTGACTACTAAAATTAGTGTTGCTGAGGAGTCAGCTGCTCAGTCTTATCCAACAGCAGCTCAGCCAAATCTTTAAAGACTTTGGGCTTTCTTTTTACTGTAATTAAGCAGAGTAAATTTAATTGTCTGAGAGGAATAATGGTATGTTAAGAGATTTACTATCAGGGCAAATAGGAAAATGATAGTCAGAGCAATTAGATCAAAGCAGTATGTACATGTTATTCCAACCTCACTTTGTCTCCATAGGTTATTTTTTGGGTTAAAAAATCAAAAGACTCTTCCAAAAAGCTGTTCAGTGCACACAGATTCAACACCATCTCTGAATGTAGTTTTCCAATGGAATTTGGTTGTGAAGAGAGAGATTTTAAAGATAGGGAAGTTAAAGGCTGATTGAGCCAGCCAGTGCAGATGTCTAAATTTGAGTGGTGTGGCATAGAGCCTAAAACTAAAACCCTAAATCTTGTGCTTTGTACTCAGAATTGACTGTGATAAGTTTGGTGCACATAGATGATCTCAATTAAACAGACTAAATAATGAATCCATATTGTTTTAAATTCTTGTTGTCTTTTTCAGTTAGAAATCCTGATGATCACATAAAGCTTTATTGTAAAGGGACAGATACCAGTGTATTTGAACAGCTTCCCCCAAGCAATGGAGTACTGATGTCTTTGGCATCCAACTGGCTGGGTGGAAGAGCTTCTACTTGACATACTAATTCAGAAGCTCCCTTAACCAGTCAACATATTCAACTTAAAATAGAGACTTAGAAATCGCATGGTTTGAATATTCTTCTTAATGTAAAGATATACACAAATGCAGGAGGACTTCCTGAATCAGGGCTGGAACGTTTTGCTGTGAAGTTAGCCAAATCTAAGTGCTGATTAGAGAGACAAATCTACTTAAATACTATGGGTTCTGAGGTTTTATGCTAAAATTTAAAACACTTAGAATATTCGTATTGTGCAAGTAATCCATATCTTATAATTCCTAGCTAGAAATTGGTTCAAGTCTATGAATATGAATGCAAATAATCTAGTTTCATGTTTTTTAAATAAAGTATGCTCTCTGCTTGTTTTCAAGGGTCTCTTCTAATGTGAACTTAAATGAGAATTTTATCCAATTTTCCTTTCTTTCTTTCAGAATTCATGTTCTCTGTAAGTGTTCATCCTAATACAAACCATTCCATGATTTTTGAAATGTCTGACATAACAAAACCATCATAACATATACTTAATATGGGTTACAAACATAACTATTGTTTTCCTCTCTGTAATAGAGCTTTCTTGGCTTTCTTTTAATCTTTTCCAGAAGGCCAACATGTTTCATATGAGAGCAAAGCTGGAATCATAAGCATCTGATTCTTTCTTTTAACATTTCCTTAGATGCAAAAACCTTGACTGTTCATACTTACTCTGTAAGGCTGTGTGTGTGGCCAGGGTACAGCTGCCACCTGGGTAAGGGAACAAGCCCATGGTGTGGCTGAAACCCCAGTGCATTGTACAGCCTGCACACGCTGACTGAGATGATAATGGGTGGCAAATCTTGTTCCTTTAACCTCTTTTGTCAGATTGTACCTGTGTCTTCGTAGTCTCCCTCCTTTCCTGTTTCTCTCTTTCCCCTCTCCCTTTCTGCTGCTCTCTCTCCCCCACATTGCTGCAAATCTTTTTCCTGAAGAAGTACAGTTTTCCTTAATACTTCACTTATACAGTTAAAAAGCTTTCTTTGTAGTCCATCAATTTTTGATGTTTAATCTTTCTCTTTCCATTGCAGCATCTTACTTACACCAGAATGTAAGGAATAATCAAGATACACTGTTGCTGCTGGTAAAGCATTCAACAGCCTGTTTTGTTGATATGCCTTTAAGATGAAAAGCATTTCTGGACATAGTCCTGCCATTTAACAATGAAACTGCTCAGAATCGTTGTACTTCAAAGACATTTACTCTCTTAAATTTCAAGTGCTAAATAATGCAGTATAGTTGGTTAATAAAAATGTCTGAGTACAGTGAAAGTATGAATCCCAGATATAGTAATGCTGATATTCAAGAAATAAGTTATCTGAAGTTTTGAGGACTTGCCTCAGTGCAGTTGTAATTCTTCAGGATATCAACGCAAAAGGTGAAAATCGTAATACCATCTGTTTCCTACTGTGCTTGGAAGTCTTGCAATTTGTCAGTCAAGTATCTTTGTCTATGTGTACTGGCCAATATTTGCCTAATTATATCCTTATTTTTTTAAGTGTTAACTAAAACCCAAAATGATCTTGGAGCTTTTGGCAAGCAAAAAAAAGTGACTTGACCGTGAAACAGCAGTGTGGAAATGTTTTAATTTCAGATTATTCTGCCTCTTCCAAATAACGCAAAGATCACTTTAAGAATTGTCATTGCTTAATCTAAGCTTGAGTTCTACCTCTTTCTGAATCCATTACTTAACTACTTGTCTACAAGTTTTGTAATATGTTTTTAGGATTAACTTTGCAGGATAGGACATTTTCACAAGTGAATTGTGTCTTTTTTGTATAAGTTTGGATCTGCAGGAATGCACAGTGTTTATTGCAAAATGAGGTAGAAATGTAAGGGGCAATGACACCTTATTTTGGGTGTTAGTGGGACTATAACTTTCTTAATATAAATGGTGCTGAGATGCTGTAGTTATCAGTGACAGAGTCACCCTGGTGGTTCCTGTAGCTGCTGTCTCACCATGTTGTGGACCCAGCCAGTCCCACTGTATATGCAGAAGGGCAGACTTATTGTACAGCCTGGTCAGGCAGCACATACAGGAGATCCTGTCTGAATGTCAAGCATAGTGAGCACTTGCAGTTGACTGCTGAGGGAATTTTCAGCTATTTTAAAGCATTTTAAAATGAAAGCATGCTCATTTTTGCTTTGGAGATGGTATGTGAGCATTCCTGTTGCTGCAGATGACGTCTGAAAAGTGACAAGGGCCATGACAGACACCTTAATATTCAGCTTTGCCGTGCCTGACAGTCCAGCAGCCTTGCAACAGCCCAGCCATACATGCAGGGGAACCTTTGTATTTCTGAAGGTTTTATATTGATAACAGGTTCCTGACAAGTACTTGAGTGCCTTTGAATGGCCTGTCCTCTGATGGAAGGCTCAGGTACACTCTGGTACAAACATAACTGACTTGGCCAAGGCTCAGGTACACTCAGCAGACTCTCCAGAGCTTGTAACCCTCTGAGTAGAGCTAATCCCTTATCAGCCCACAACTTCTGAAGGTTCTGAACTGAGCTAAGGATTATATGCATTTCACTCCTAATTTTGTAGTTAACACACTATAAATCTAAAAATGGAAAATGTGCACTTGCAAGAGTTACCTTTTCATTTCTGCTTATAATAAACGTGGTATTGACATTGTTTTATATCACTGCATAGTTTAAACTGAAAATCGGTTTTGCTAAATCCATTTTATTGTTTCATAACTTATTTGAAATTTTTGTACAAGCAGATGCAGAAGACAGGAGGAAAATCCTGCATGAGTACTAATCATGGAGGATTAGAACTTCAGAGAACATATTGTCAGAATTAGGTAAGAAAAATATGAAATTATTCTTTTTCTTTTGAAAATGTATTAGTGTAAGATAAATTCACGGGGGCAGGATATGTGATATCACAGGGTTTTTATAGAAAAATAGAGACTGAATGCTAGTGATGAATATTATTTTACCAAGTAACATGGTGCAGTTTAACAGATGAAAAATTAAAATTATTAGTGGTTAATGCTGCCATCAGGTTTTTTAATCCATATGAATTCCACTATTTCTCTGAAGTAATTTGTAAATATACAGATGAGCCTGATTTGCATTTCACTCCTCTTTGGCATGAACAGCTTTCAAATCAAAAAATAAAAGGAATAAGTAAAAGATAACTTAGCTCTTAAATTTACTGCACATCAAAGAAACACAGAATTCATTCTAGTTATTTCTGAGGAATAATATAGGAAAATTTTTTATTACCAAAACATAAAATAAGTGTTTATAATCACTGGGGATGATGGAGAATGCTTAGAATCACTGAGAGACTTTCTGGTGAATGGGTGGGCAAAGCAATTCATAGTTGGGTCTTACCAATTCCCTTCCCCACCTCATTCATTGTGGAGCTTTAAACAGTGTCTCTGTAATGCTGTGGTGCCATTGTGCTGGCTCCTCTTTTGTATGGACCCGAATCATGGGTCATCACCCACCACCACCTGCAACTCTTAGAGCGCTTCCATCAACGCTGTCTCCGTACAATCCTAAACATCCACTGGTCAGATTATGTGACCAATACATCTGTTCTAGAACAGCAGCAGTCACAAGTATTGAGGCCATGTTGATGAGAACACAGCTGTGATGGGCAGGACATGTCTTCAGGATGAAGGACCACCACCTCCCTGAGATCTTGCTTTATGGGGAACTTGCCACTGGCTGCTGGAAGAGAGGAGCCCTGAAGAGGAGATACAAGGACTCTCTGAGACATCTCAGCCTTGGCCATATTGATCATCAGAACTGGTCTATTCTGGCCTCCAGTTGCAAGATCTGGAGACACACCATCTATAACGCTGCTGCTGCTTCTGAGAAAGCACGCAGGATCGCTCCAGAGGAGAAGAGACAACATAGAAAGAATCTTGCAGAATATACCACCTAAGGAGTCCTTCTGCTGTGCCTTTTGCAACCGGACTTGTCTATCTCGTATTGGCCTTTTTAGCCACCAGCGTGCTTGTAACAAACGTGGGTAGAGCCCTTCCCAAATCTTCGTTCGCGAAGCCTGGCCGTGAATGCCGTAGTGATTCCCGCTGTTCGAGCTGCAATGAAGGTGGTTCTGCACACCGGCGGGCCCGTCCCAACCCGGTATCGGTGTGTCCTCCCCAGCGCGGGGGGGCTGAGCCGCGCTCTGCAGTGCCCGCCTGGGCCAGCGGGGGGAGCGCCAGAGCAGCGGCCGGGCCGTCCCGGCCCCTCCAGCGGCCCGGGCTGCCAAAAACCCGCGTTGGGAACACCGCAACCACCGCAAACCGGGCTGCAAAACCCGCGTGTGGAAAACCACCGCAACCACCCGCAACCGGGGCTGCCAAAACCCGCGTGGTGGAAACACCGCAACCACCGCAACCGGGCTTGCCAAAACCCGCGAAGTGTGGGAACCCGCAAACCACCGCACCGGGGCTGCCAAAACACCCGCGTGTTGGAAACACCGCAACCACCGCAAACCGGGCTGCCAAAACCCCGCGTGTGGGAACACCGCAAAGCCCCGCCACCGCAACCGGGGCCTTGCCAAAAACCCGCGTGGGAAACCCGCAACCCACCGGCAAATACCGGGCCTGCCAAACCCGCGTGTGGGAACAACACCGCCAACCGGGGCTCCAAAAACCCGCGTGTGGGAACACGCAACCATCCGCAACCGGGGCTGCCAAAAACCCCCGCGTGTGCCATCCCCGCAGACACCGCAACCGGGACTGCCAAAACCCGCGTGTGCCATCCCCGCAGACACCGCAACCGGGGCTGCCCAAACCCGCGTGTGCCATCCCCGCAACCACCGCAACCGGGGCTGCCCAAACCCGCGTGTGCCATCCCCGCAGACACCACGAACACCGCTGCCCAAGGAACAGCTTAACTGCGAAAACGTGGATACAGCGGGAAAACACCTACTCCCCACTGTTCATTTTGGGGTTTCTTGACCATTGTTGCCACGGCCATTACTGCTGTTACTGTTTGCCAGAACTGCCTGCCTTTGTACAAGCTTATTCTTTGAATTGATAACTAAACAGCCTTTTGAAACATGTATAAATTTTTGCAACACAGCATCAAGACTCCATCTATGAAGGTAGAGTCTGCCTTGTGTCGTGGCCATTTTAGAAGTTGGATATGTGGGGACTAGTCCTTTGGGTCTATACTTTAAGAAAGTAAGCTCAGTAATTTCTAAAATAAAAATAACTGAAATTAAATAATATACCAGTAATAACATGATTATTCCACTACTAGAGTTGCTAAAATGCAAAAATTGGGGAAAACATATCAGTTTAATTTAACCTCCTTTGATGAGATATGAGCAACTCACATGTGCCCTACTACTATGATCTACCAGCTAATCGCCTTCAGAGTAGGTCAGCTAATGTGTTATGCCAAAATGTTCTTAAGAATAAGATACTTAAAAATTTTGCTTCCTTTCAAGAAAGAAAAAATACCTATTTGGACAAAATTAAAAGCTTTGATCTCATCCCCTCTGTGGAAAAAAGCAAAAGTCAAACCAGGACTCATTTTGTGGTGGGTCTGTCATTGGTAGTTAATTAACCCCTTAGCAGTTAATGGTTATGGCCTCATAAGTGGGTTTATCACATCTTGAACTTTCATTCCCGCTGCAATTGTATGTGTTCTGTTCCAGGAAAGATGGGGTTTTGTGGTTTGGTTTTTTTTTTTTCCCCCAGAACTGCTTTAATTTAGAAAAAAAAAATATAATTTTTAGATGATTTTGAAAAAGAAACAAAAATAGTATTCTGTACAGCTTTTTTTTTAAAAAAAATTAACTGGAGTCTTGTAGTCAAAAATGTTTCACACAATCTGATCCATTCCTAATTAAAATATGCCATGGCTGCTATTAAGGGCTTGTGTGGGAGTAGCCACACAGGACCAGTGCCAGCGAACTGCAACTGAAGTAGGCAGATGCAGTTGCAACTGTTTTTCCTCATTTTGCTTAAGGACAGATTTTGTGTCAAATTAATGTCATTGTGGATTTTCTAGATATTAGCATTTTATGAGAGTGCCAAAGCAATTTGATTAGAGAACAAGGTTCCTGTCATAAGAACAAAGTTGTGTTCTTTTTGTGTACTTGGGGTTTCAACTCTTGAAGGAAAATTCAAGGGTTTTTTTTTTTTTTATTCATTTAATAGATCTTCAGACTTCATTCATGAGAATGTAACTGCATTAAAAGATACAAGTTAGCAGTTCTAGTCTCCACCTGTTCTGACTCTTTTTGACTCTGCAGTGCTTTGCTCTTATCTGTGCCTTTTTCTTCATGTTTCACTGCCATAGCCTGTGATTTACAGCATTCCAAAACTTCTGGAAGGAAAAAATAGGAGTATCAGAAAAATTTGCTCTTTATATTTTATGTAATAATTTTTACAACAAATTATATCCTGTTTTATATATATGTATGTATATGTATATATACATATATGTATACATACACATGCAGGTGCTACAGAATGTGTGTAGCCACATTCCCTCTGTGATTAGCTTTGGTATTGGATATAAATCCTGAAGAGAATTGCTGAAGGTTATGTAATGATAACTGCAGAAGTTAACAATGGGATGTTCTTCCAAGAACTGAATCAGAGAAACACGCATTTCTTCACTAAATGCCTATTGAGTTGATAGTTCAATTTAGTCAGTCTTTGTTTACTCTTTAATCCTCATAGTGTCAGCTGGAAAACTGAATGTTTTTCTCAAGTAGCCAAGTTTAGGGAGCTGGTTTCTTTTTAGCAATTAGTAGGTAAAGTGAAGTCAGTTTTGCAATAAGATGTTTTGTAATCTTTTGTGCGTGTTGAGATTATATGTGCTCTGTATGTCTATATACACACAAGAGGATGATTTATGATGCTGAATAGGAATGATATATTCTGCTAAATGATTCAGGTACTTGAAATTTCTTTGACTTTCTTATAGAAGAAGATACCTTATGCATTAAATTCAAGGAATGACCAACATCACGTTGTTTTATAATAGTTATGAAACCAACTGACTTACCAGAAGTTTTAAGGCTCTTGCTATTGAGGCTGATTTGGAGAAAATGTTTGGAACTTGAGTGTGTATGTAAAACTGTGACTGGCTGTTGAGTCACTCCTTTAAAAAATGCCTGAATCTCCCAGCTGATGAGGAAACAGGAAGGCAGTTACACTGGCAGTAGGGATAGAGCTAATGACATCAATATGATCAAAAGTAAGGACAAATTTAAAATTTAAAATGTCAATACAAATTATGGTTTATTAATGAATTTGTATTTATATTAGACCCATTACATAAACCTTTTTCATTTGAAGAATTACTTTTCTTGTTATGGAAAAAATAAAACCAACTCAGATCAGCCTTTATATGTGATATTTGAAAGGAACTGTGATAAAGAAATAAAATTTGAACTTAAACTGAGTCAAGCCAGGGTCTCGTCTGTGGTCCTATCTTTAGCTGTGACCAAGAGCAGATGCTTAGGAAAGAACAAAGGAACAAGACAACTATTCAAAGTCCCTTGTGAATCTTCTTCCACCCTCCATGTCTCAGGAAGATGTGTGTTTTCTTTGTGTTTACTAGCTCTAGATTTCTTTTTTATCCTGTAACTTTGGTCAATTTAAAATATGTGGTAAATAATAACTTCCACAATATCCTCCAAATGGTGGTTATTTTTCTAAAATGCAAGGTTATTGTTACTTAGAAAAGTCTAAATTAAACATAAATAATGGACTCTGACTGAAGGACTTGACCAGTGTATGTCTCACATGGGGAGGTGACAGCTGTTACCTTTGTCCATTTTTTTCATGGCCCAATGTTTAAGTGTAGGATACAGCCCATGGAGCAATGGAGAGTATGAGCAAAGTTCTTATTCTTTGCCTGCTATCTTGGACATCCTTTTCATTCAGGACATTTACTAAATACTGCATTGAATCCTCTCAACTGCCATCTGAAAAGCTTACCCTTTCTCTTTCTTTAAGGAGATTTTTTGGATAACAAATGGTGCATCTCTTGCTGTTGACTGAAATTTCTTTGATGCTTTATTCTGCTCATAGTCAGGTCTTTGAAATACAAAATAATCCAAGCCTGTTGCAAAAAAATTTATAGTTATTTTACCCACTGTGAGCTGAACTATCAAATGCTGGACCTGCTGGATGCAACATGAGCCTCAGAATGCAGCACAGGATATCTGTACTGGGGCTCATTTAATTGCATGCAAACATCTCAAACTAATGCTTCAAGAAAGCAGAGAACTATTGTATTAGTCATTATGTTTTGATAGCCTGTAAACTATCCCAGCTGACTGATGTTCCTAGTAAGAACACAGTGTGGTGGGATCAGAATATCAGACACTGTAAAGCATACAAATGCTTTACACTTAAGGTTATATTTGTAAGTGCTCTGTTTTATTTTACTCTCAGATACCTGCAAGATTCCTTTTTATAGAACAGTATCCATATGAGGCTATAGAGTAAAATATAACTTCCTAATTAATTAATGGGCATTCTTAAAATTATATAAGATGACTTCATGATGAATAATGGCTGAAGTTGTTTGCTTACATTGTTTCATCTTGCTCCTGGTAACCTTGCCTATAAACTTGTTGGAACCTCAAATTCCAGTGGCATATTCTTGAAGTGAGAGAAATAGCAAAATGAGCCTCTAAAAAATGTTCAAGAAATGGATTTTTCTGTAACAGTTTTATTTTAAATTTTGCTGTGACCATCTAGATCTGGAAAGGGTTATAATTAGTATAAAGTTGGGTTGCATTTTTTTTTAATCTGTTCTGGTGGGAAGAACTCAGAAAGGATCTTCCAGAAAAAACAATGAAAAGGGGATTTAAACAGGATGTGCAAGGAAAAAGAAGAGGAACTGGTTTAAATGGAAAATAACCTATCAATAAGATTATTTTGTACAGGTTGCTTCTTAAACATCCCCCCTGGGATGAGAGGGACTGTATAAGCTGAGTCACGAAAGCAAGTGCTGATGTGAGACCATTCCTCCTTTGAACACTTCTGGCACTTTTTTCAAATGCCCTGTAATCTAAGGATAATGTTTTCCATTGACAGTAATTATAGCTGTTGTCTGACACTGTCTATGTGGTAGCTTAATATGCTGACATCTGGTTTTCAGCTGTTCAGTAGAAGTGAGTTCCCTCTCTCTTGGCTTGCAGGTGCACAATAGGAGTTGGCATCAGTGGCCAGGAAGGAATGGGAGCAGCCTTGGCCAGGGACTGACAGCCCAGTTCAGACACCTTCAGAGGCTCTTGCAGGTTCCTGGCAGACATTCCTGTTTGACAATGTGCGAGTCCTTATGTTTTCTTCTACAAAAACTTTGCTTTCACACTGCTGCACTTCTGCTTTGTCATCTGTGACTTCTCTACTCACTTTTGTTTGTGGTTTTTTAAGTTTATAAATTAACAAAACAGTGGCTTGTACTCTTTAGTTACCTACAAGTTCTGGAAGTCTGAAGACTGAGGCAATCTAAATATTTGCGTACAAATGTTTTGGAACTTAAAGAAAAGAACTGTTTCTTTTTCTGTTTTGAAAACATAAATGTATCTGACTGCAGTTACTACACTTAATGATCCCCTTCATTTTCCCAGTTTGTTAAGACATACTGTTTTCATATGTTATACAATTCTGCCTTATACTTAGAAGGAAAAGAGAACCATATGTTGTGCTTTACTGGTAAATCCCAGGGATTGTCTGTGTGGTTGTAAGGAGTGTGTAGATAAGCCATGACGAAATGACTGTCTCTAACTAAGCTACATCTACAAAAGACATCCACTAAGTAATTATATTAAGGTAAAGAGCTGTCTTGAAATCTCAGACTTTTTTAGATGCAATCTAGATTTCTTATGTCCTTTTTTTTTTTTTCTAATGCTTACTCTGT